CAATTTATTTCCTCCTTCTAGACACGCCTAAACCAGAGAGATGTTATTTGAGGCACGATATCGAAAATGTGGCTAGACTACTTATTTGTGCAATCGATCAAAACGCTCACTGTAACACCTCGTGTAAGAACAATGAGTTACTCCAACTAATTATTGACGTGTACTTGTAGTCAATACAGCAAAAGTGCAACTGTATTCGGAGCACAAAGTAGGGAGAGTGGGTTTGAAAGTGACGATTTTGAGAAATTTAAATAAATTACAGTATAATTAGAGCTATTCTTTTGAGTTCATTTAATATTTCGTGTGAAATTTAATCCCGTTTTTGAATTCTAGGCTTCCTCATAAAAGCTTTTCTCATGAAACTGTTGAAAAACTGAAAATTAAAATACAGAAAAATGTTTTGTGCTGTCAATTATTGATTAAAATTTTAACTTTCACAACTTCATTTTCCTATACTCAAAGTGTACTCTGTTGTCAGAGAAACAGCACGTAAAACAAATACCTGCAAACACCCTAACTTCAACGGGGTTTCACATTTCCGTTTCCTGGTCATAAAACTCTCAACACTTACAACTTGCATATATACAAAATATGAATCACTAACTATTTCAATTTTTTAAAATAAATAATATTACTTTTAATTTCCTTTAATGAATTTTTAAAAGTAATGAAGATTAAAAAAAATATAAATTTTTGACATCCATGTTCATAATAAAATAAAACAAAAGGAATAATGAAATAATGAAGCAAAAAGAATTATTACAGAAATGTATGCACATGCAATAATCTGTTGACTCAGCACAACACCTTTGCCTTTGAAAAATAATTCAGTTCTTATAATCTGAATAAAATGTTCTTTTAAATTGAACATATTATATTCATCAAAAAAAATTTTGGAACTATATTTTGAAAAAAAATTATACGTTATGAATTACACCAATTCTATTATTTCTAATAATCGTGGAAACACAGGAAAACCTGAGTGAAAACAATTATTCTTTAATTGTAATTAATAGCAAGATTTATTCCATATATTGTATTATAAAATCGTGGAGTATTACACGGAAAGACATTTTATTTGAAAATTTAATAAACAGATTATTAAACCTGAGCTATTCGATGTTTGCTACAAAATATTAATTAGTGTCAATAGCAAATTGCCACAACAAAAAGAAGAGAATATATTTTGATTTACTTGAAGTTTGTTGTTTACTTGTTTTGATAAGCATCAGCAAAATTGATTCCAAGTTTTTTTTCGTGAAATTAATGAAGTTTATTTCGATCATGATGATGGTGTTGAAAAATGACTTTAACAATTTGGTTTTATGTAGGTACCTGATTAGATGTGGAAATTTGTCCATTTCCTAGATTTTCTGAACTGCTCTTAACATCGCAGATATTATTGGTATTGTAGGAAATAATCAGGATGTCCTGTCGAAATCGTTTGTTGTGTGAATCGTAAAATTAAAAAATTAAGCTTGACGTTCATATTTCCGGTGAGAATGGACAAAGTGGTTACAATTATGAAGGTAGTGATTCATCGCGAGACATCTCCAATGATTTGACAAAAGCGGTCTAGCTGTTACTAGTTTGAGTCAATCTTCCATGACGTAAGAGAATTACAAGGTAAATTAATGCGTGTCGAGAATTTTATTACATTTCATATCACAAATTGACTTACAAAAGCGTGGGCAGGTATAAAGGTCACAGAAAAGAGGGTTATCGTCAAATGAGCAGACATGCAAAATTTTCGAGAACGATCTTTGTCGCGGGAGGAAAATACCGTACTGTACGTTAATATTTAAACGCTAATTTTTCCAATATAAAAAGCAAGTCTTTGCATCGCAGGATTGGTAAAAACATTATTTAATTATTTCAATGTTTTCCTCTACAAGATTTTTAAACTTTATAATCACTGTTTGTTCAATATTAATTCACAATTTTTTTGAGGATAAATCTAAGGTGTGAACGGAGTCAGCTTCGCTCTAGAGAAAACTCTAAAACTGAATCAGTGAAATTTGACTCATTTTCGCCGAAAATCAGTGTAAAAGGTGTAAAAGGTTTAAAACTTTCTCTACTGTGTAGTATTTTTATATTATTTTATATTGCAGCAAAACTCTTTCGTCGCATCATTACGGTTTTCGAAATAAAATTTAAATGTAATTTTGTTATTGTCGATGATAGCTCAACATTGAAATCTCCAAAAATCTTACAAACCCAGTAAAAAAATAGTTAGAAAAAAGCGAAAATAATTAGGGGTAATGGTAAATAAATTTCATATTTCCTTTTCGTAATCTGTTTTTTACACTTCTTAATACCAGTTAGGTAGCAGTGAGCGGCTCAAGTTCTTGTCACTGCTGTCCGACTGGTATTATCCCTTGCGACCGCGCGCTCATCTCCTTATTTTGTGGTATAGAAAGATTTTAAAGTAAAATTATAAATCTAATTAAATTAAAATTTTTAAAAGCCTGAAAAATTGACACCATAAACTATTGAATTGTTGCGATACAATATTTTGTTGCAGTTAGTGGTCCCAATTTGAGGACCTCCGAAAAAATGTGTACAAAATGTTTAAAAATAGACTGTTTATTTTTGAAAATACTCAGTAAATTATAAAAAATAAAAAATGTATTATTTAATTTTACTAAAAAGTATTAATTCGGTGTTTTAAGAATTCTATTTAGAAGCAAATTGTATTTCTGTTTAATAAAAATTCTTAATAATTAAATTTAATTTATTTCTAAGTTCTTCACTTTTTAACTTATCATAAATTATAATTCGTTTATATATATATAAATATCTAAGAAAATTGTAATTTGAAGTGATGAAAATTTGAATACACTATAATTTTTGAAATAAATCTTTTCTGTTAAATATTTATTTGAAATAATATATTTCGAAAGACTGATAATTTTATCATATGATTCTTATGAGATAATCAGGCATCCCATTTTCATGTTGGTTAATAAAATAATGTTAATTTTAGTTATAGATGTTATAAAACAGGTCATTCAGAAATAATGTAAAATTATTAATTATTTGAAAGTTTAAAAAAATTAGATGAGCTTAATTAAATAATAATTTCTTTATTCAATTATGATAGTTATCTGTGATTTGTGTTATTACGTGCTTTCATGTCTCGTGTTTACAAATTGAATTTGTTTTGTTCGTAGTCATTAAAAATGTATTATGAATATAAACTCACGGGCAAGAAAAAAGTACTTGATTCATAAGAAAGTAAAAGTTGAATTACATTACAAAGTAAAATTTAACAGTTTATGAATTGCAAGAAAAGTTTGTTTTTTGCATGATTTTTTCAATCGTAAGTTAATATCTAAGGTTAATGGCCCAAGGGCGCACTTACTTATGTCATCGCTCCCACGAGATTAATTATTCGCTCATAGACACAATCTCAATTGTTATACTTTCCAAGACTAAACTATAGTTCAGTCTTCCGTAAAAGAACAATGAGCTCTGATGCATCTATACTTATTTTATTTCTATTTCAGTTATTTTTTTTATTTTACTTTGACTTTCTTTCAATTTTAATGTGTTAATTATAGAATAATATAATTACAATTACTTAAATAATTATTCTGAATAAGATAAATATATTGGTGTTAAATGAAAATATTATTAATATACAAAACAAAAGTTTTAATACAAACTCATTTTTAAGAATGAAAATTAAAAGTTTTAAAAGGCGACAATTCACTGTCTGTTGCTATGTAACCTTGTGAATTAAAAGTGTATAGACTGTCTAACACGAGACTTTTTATATTTTGAGAACGGGTTGTTCCACCTTTAGGTTAATTTTACCTTTCAGTAAAATCGATATATTCTAGGGAAGACCTGCCATGAGCTATAGAATACATACATATTATGTTACAACTGGCAAGTAAACCATTTCCGAATAATTCTAAAAATAACTTATAGAAGTTCATTAAAAATACATTAAAGGGTTTGAATTATTTTTTTTCCAAGAATTACATTTTTATTATAAATAATATCCAATCATTTCAATTAAAGTTTCATAAACATTAATGTTTATTGATTATGTAGATTCTATAATCTTTAAATCTTTATAATTATTCACATTATCTTCTTTACTTTTTTTTTTATTAAACTTGTACTTTTTTCACGAATTCAACAAATTTTTGTTGATAATTGCATATAACTTTCGGGCTTTTAAGTATTGTATCGAATAATTACCTTTTTTTTTTAATTTAACAGAATTGTTAATAACATTTTCCTATAATTTGAGATTATTTACAAGGAAAACTTATTTGAGTTCTGCCTGGATAATAATATGTAATTTTCGTAATTATTGTAAAAGGCAGTGTATTTTTTAAAGGGGAGGAAAACTGGGGGGTTCCAACCCTCAGACGAACCTTTACAAGAGTGTGTCAAAACGTGTGCGCTTCTGCTATTCTCTAAATTATATTATATCTATTTTGTCAGAGGTTCTCATTTTTATTCATATATCCTGCTTGCTCTCTAATATTATTTCTTTGAAAAAAAGTTTATGAATAAAAGAAAAGCAGTTTGATAAAAAGCAAATTGTCTGTTGATGTGATGCAATAGATTACAATCAAAGAGCTTTAAAAAGAGGACAAAATAATGAAAGAAAACAAGGAAATTCCCTTTAAACTTATCGAACGAAAATTCAAGAAAACTTATTATTTCGAAATGTCAATACTTGTTATTAGGCTTTGTTATTTGTATTTAAAAGTTAAATTTTACAATAATAATTGGTTTTTTAAATGTTATTTTTATAGAGTGAAAAATTATTTACGTCATGAGTATTTATGAGAAATTTCTTAGTTTATTGTTGTGCAAGTGGGTCAAACGTACGCCCTCAGGGTGAATAAACTGCGTTCCCTCTTCCCTTGTTACTTTATGTATCGGCCATTATAATTTATGTATCGTATATTTTATCTCATATATTTTGATTGTTTACTGTATATTTTTTTATAATTATTTTGATACACTTTTTTCAGCATGGCCGCTCAGATTCATACAGGGTCGCCACTTTACCAAACATTCGCGATGACAACAAAAGTGCAGATGGAATGTACAAGGTATAATTTGTACGTTAACGAGGCTAAAATCCGTCAAGGATTAAGGTTTTCGTTTTTCTAACGGTGATGGGCTTTCTTCTTTTCACTTCTCTCTCTCTGTCTCTTTTTCTCCTCTCTTCTTTGAAAAAATGTAATATTTTCTTAAATGAATTATCTGATTTGGGATCTTTTGCTTATGTGGCTCTTCTGCGACATTTCGTTTCGAAAAGTTCAACGTTATTTTTATTTATTGATTAAAAGGGAAATAATTTCATCTTTCCTAATACTTGCCTTATAAAATAACACTTATTAAATTTATAAGTTGACTCAATTTTTACTAATAAAATAACGAATTCCTGAGGGTGATTCTTCGAATATTTTACTTTTTTTACATAAAATGAATTTTATCATTTTGTTTAGAATCACTTCTTCTGTTTGATATTAAAGATCTTTTACAGATCAACATAATTATGTTTTAACGTTTTCAATTTCGCAAATATTTTTTCTCAGCTTAAAAATAGAAATACTTTGGGAGAATCACCCATAAATCACTTTACGTCTATAGCTGCTGTTGTAAGACTAATTAATTTACTAATTATAATAAGTTATTATTTAAGTTGTTTTTTAATGCATAAAAAAGAAATTCATTTAAAATTTGGTGTAATAAATTTATATTTTCCCTGTTAACATAAATGACATGCGCATAATAATTATGTAACAATTCGATGCAAATGTCAGCTTATGTACGTGTAACCTGTTACTGGTATATAATGGTCCTATAACGGTTATGTTCCAGTAAGAGTTTAGCTGATGTTTCTATATAATTGTCATGTGCACGTTATTTGTGGTAACTGGGTTGTTTGGCTATTTATTTTTCAGTTTTTTGATTCTTGTAAATGAATTAAGTTTTTATGAGTATTTTATAAAGATTAAGTAGATCAGCACTTGTGCTCCGTACTTTCGTGCAATTTTATTGCATTACTTTCAATTACTTATTCCATTCAATTTATTGTTAACTCGCGAAAAGTTGTGTTATTTCGTGAAGTATATAAATGGATTTAAAGGAACTTTCACGATTGACTCAACTAACATGCAGCAGGCAAAATCGATAGTTTCTGAAAATTTACCATAAATTCAGTTGCATCTGACTTCTTCACATTTTTCTATTCCAATATTGTAGGCTAGTTTCTTCGTATTTAAAAAGCAGAATTTTCCAACACTATTTTTCTTGAAAATAGATTAAATTTTAGGACTTTGTTCACTTTAGTGAAGAATGCTTCACATTACATACTTTTTACTCTCTAAATTTAAATAAGTAGATTTCAATTAATTGATAGTCAAAATATATTTTTTCAATTGATAGCTTAAATTCTATAATTAAATTAAATTAAATATTTTTCTTTCAAGACTTTAATAATGCAATTAATTATAGAAATTTTCTTTAAAATTGCGTTTAAAATGATTAAGTTAACACATATTGAAAGTGAATTTTTGATTAAACACATATTTTCAATTTATTTTTGTCAATTTTTGTATAATTTCATTTTTTATACACTATTTATTAATACTTAAAATAAGTTTAAATTTACTTTTGATTTCGTTGCATATGAAATGAACTACACTGCTAAAATTGGAAGAATTTGGCGCTGCTAGAAAAGTTTACTTTTAATAATTACTAATTAAATTAACGAAAATTCTACTAATTTAGATTAAAAGAGTGCAAAGTAATTCAACAAGAGTTATTCGTTTACACCTCGAAATTCTAAAAGAATATTGAAATGTTAACCGACACAAAAACTGTTGGAGACTTGACTATACCGAACTGTCAATCGCAAGACTGAAGATGAAAACACGAAAGACGCGGTTCGTTTGACTCGTTCTAATTAAAGAGTTAATAAGGGCAACTTGTTAATATTGAACAACTACCATCATTGGTCACTGCTGCTGACTAACTTCTAAAGAATTTAAAAACACTTCACGCCTGTTTTCATAGTGGATGTTCTTTTTAATGTGAAGAAATTACATTTAATCGTCTTTTTTCTTGAAATGTACGACAAACATTGCCTGATAAGGTTGTAAATTATTTTACAGATGTAAGGCTGCAATATTTACGAATGAAGAAAAAAGCGTTTCACTTACTTGTAGTAAGTACACTGTAAAAAGAAGTCATCTTATTTCAAGATACTATAGTAGTCACTTCTAAGTTGTTTCGAGAAAGTTATCAAAAGCTTCTTAAAATCCTTAAAATGCATTCATCTTCACTACAGTGAATTTTAAGAAGCTTCTTTTTGCAGTGTGATTCAGCTTAAACAAATTTCTAAAAGCGAAAAATATTTTTAAATAAATTATTGCCTGACACATATTACATTGAAAAATCGATGTTATTTCGATAACATACTTTTTCTGGATTTTATGAATCATTGAATTATTTATAGGCAAAAATAACATCGTAAAACTTAAATATGATGAAAAATTGTTTTAATCTATTGAAAATAATTCATGAAACATCTATACCCTCACTTTTCAGAATTTAATTATTCCGTTTGTTCATTGTTTGTCTTCTGTTCATAGTCGCGGCGGAAGACCCCGAAGAAAAGGGGGGATAATCTGGATGACCTCAAACAAGAGTTGGATATAGACTTTCACAAAATTTCCCCCGAAGAGTTATATCAGAGATTTCAGTCGCACCCCGAAAACGTAAGTATTCCTTAACTTTTTTCAATTTTTTTTTAGGTTATCTTGTTCAAATGTTGAGAATTTTATTTCAAAAAACTTTGATCACCCTTTATGAAATTGCATAACAATTATTATAAAAATTCATTAATACGTTAAAAGTTTTTGATGCCAACAATAACCTGAGGGGCGCATGAATATCCCATACAAATTTTTAGTTAGAATATTTATGAAACTGAATTTTATTAGACAGAACATTCACATAGCTGATTTTTAAAAATTCGATATTAAATTAACGCCAATTTTTATATAAAATAAAAATTTTACTTAACAGAATATATATAAAAAATAACTCATAAAATGCCGAAATATCAATTGATAGAATTTCCATTTTTATCCGAAAAAACACTCGGCAGAAAAGTTTCAGCGACAATTTTAAAATTGACCAATCGGAAATTATGAAGAAAATAGTGTTTGGTAAATTTTAAAACTGACGCTAAAACCTTTCTGCCGGATGTTTGTTCGGACAAATGGAAATTCTGTCATTTGTATTTGATATTTCGGCATTTTAATAGTTCTACTAAGTGATAATTTGGGCAAATGAAAATTCGGACAAATTGAGATTGGATGTAATAGAATTTATGACATTTAAAAGTTCGACTCACTTAAATTCAGCTAAATCAAATTTTTCTAAATTAGAATTCGATTAGATTACATTTCTTTTAAATTAAAAGAATATTTATTAAAACTTTAATCAATTGAAGATTCTGTTAAATAAAAATTCGGTGGCCTTATATTCTGTTAAGGTATTTGTCGCGGGACTGGTCACTGTCAAAAGTTTGTATCCGTTGACTGTACTTATGAAACGATTATGAATGCGAGTTTCCGAAAAACTTTTGCCGACGTACAGTTTGACACACAGATGTTCTCAAAGTATATTCATAACCTCTCGCATGCAAAAACGATCGTGGCAACGTCGCAAGTTTGGCGTATGGCCGTCTTTAAAATTTCGCGCCAAAAGTGGCAGACAAGCTGTAGTATTTAACAAGCGCTATTGCCACGTTTACAAATTCACCTGTCATTTACAGTAAATGTTAAAATAATTTTTCAAGTTTGATGTTAAATATCTTTTAAACAAGACGGTGAAAAATTTTCATTTTTTTTATAAAAGTTCATTTTGGTTCAATAAATAAAACTTTAGTTTTTCTAAAAAATCTGTCGATTAGTATAAGTGCAGAAATTAAAAATCTGTGGTTTTCATATGATTTTCCTATACCGTACATGTTAAAAATCGAAACTTTGATTTCATTTTTTGAGACTTACAGACGGTCAATTTTATTTTAATAGGCCTTATTTTGTAGGTAAATATCCAAAGAATAATTATGTGAAATTTAAAAAAATTCTGTCGAAAACGAATTTACGCGACAAATACCTTAAGTAAAATTTTTACTATGTAAATCTTGATGCTAATTTAAAATTGAAATTTTTTAAATCAGCTATATGAAAATTGTATATCTAATAAAATTCTATCTATTATATATTCTAACAAATAATTTTTATGGGATATTCATGCGCCCCTAACGTAATATAAAATCATAATTTATTTAAACACTATTTACAAATTATTTATTTATTTATTATAGTTATATTTACAAAGTAATTGAGGGTTCACGTGCAATAAGGGGTACGCATGAAAGTGAAAGTTCCCGCGTACAGCGAATCAGCGGCTGCGCGAGGGATTAACGAAAATCCTGTGCGTCCCCTTATTGCCTGTGAACCCTTAATTAGAATCTAAAAATATAGCATCCTTCTATATTAAAAATTTTACAATTTTTACTAAATGATTTGATATCTGTTCATATAAAGAAATATAGTATTCCAGATTTTCGGGCAGGACATGAAAATACCATTTTCATTTTAATTATACCCATTTATTGAAATTCATTAACAATTTTATTTTAAAATGAAGTTTTTGTGGCATTTTTTTAATTAAAATAATTTATTCAGAATCATTCGATAGAAATCGACAGAAACACAGAAACAATTATTGTGAACTGCCTTCTTACAAACACAGTACCTGGTTGTGATTCTGTTTGTTATAAGTCTTGCCATATTAAAAAAAATGATTTATCGTCACTATGCGCACCTTATTTTTAATTTTTAACGATTTTAAAACCACTTCCAAGTGGTACTATACTGTAACGTGCATTTTGGGTGTTCACTTCATGAATCTATCTCATGGGGATAAAAGTATCACATGGATATTAAATACTCAAATAATAAAAAGTAAAAATCAGAACTCTAAAAAATACTTACATTAAAATTTAAAACCAAAATCAATAAAAATTTACGTCTTTAAAAATTATTAGGTAGTTTTTAAAACTAATATATTTTTACATGGGATAGAAATGAATTACTCTGCGAATTACTCTGCGAAATGAAAGAAAAATATTTACAAATCTCACGAAAAACGTTTTTTTTTAAACTTTTAAATAAAATAAATTACAAACTTAAATGTTACAGAATAACAATACCCAAGTAACCTGTAAGCTTGAAGGTAACTTAAAGCAAACTTGGGAAAACATTTTGCTACTTACAACAAGCTTTTCCTGCAAGTTTTATGCAAACTTACAGGTCATTTGGGTACGAAATTATACATAAGAAAAACTTTTATTTCTGCCCGCATGTGGAGGCCTTCATTACTGTTGTATTTTCTTCCTATGAGAATAATAGTAAATAAATTTGTATAGTTACAATTATATGAAAGATTAAAAATTATGCAATACTTTATTCAAAATGTTATGAATACATTACAAAAGAAAAATAGAAAATATTCAAACTATTTTATCTCTTATAAATTATTGCTTGTACCAACCAAATTGATTCTTTGTAGTAAATTAATAGTAATAGCATTAATTTCATATTCTTTTACAATTGAACATTTGGATCGAATAATTCGCCCTACACGTGGTCGCAAGTTGAAAATCCCTGTACAAGATCTTAGACATTCTTATATAGGTACAAGATCTTGTACGTAACCAGTTAAGGAAATTAGAACACTGAAAGCGTACTTGAAACAGTACATGATCACGTATGAAAAATTTTTCCATTAAGGGGTTACGTACAGTTAGAGCTTCAAAAAAAGCTGTTTTTTTAGGAATTTTTTTTGGCCACACTTTAAAATAATTAATAACAAATCTTTTTCCACATAAAATATATATATATATATATATATATTTCAAGAAAATTTTCTAAAATTATAGTCCATAAATATAAAGAATTATGCGAATGATAAAACATTTGCGTGAGCTCCTTAAATAAAAATGGTTTCGCGGTGATCACGCTATCTCTTGACTGGATCATCTAAAATCAAATCGTGAAGAAGAAATCGTTAGGTAATGATATAATGCGATACTTGAACGAAGGGATTTGAAAAATTTTGATTTTTTGCAAAATGGCGGATGTTGAAAGTCAAAAATTGTTTTTTGACAAAAATTTTACTCACATTTTTAGCTATAAAAAAAATTATTGTAAAAAAAAAAAATCCTTTGTTCAAGTACCGGCCAATTATATAACAAATAAGTGGTAAAAATTTCAAACCGATCGGTAAAGCCGTTCTCAAGTTACAGTGATCACCAACTCCCAAAACATGGTTTTGAGAAAAACGAGTTCAAAGTTTTGAATCCCGCCGCCTAGCCACAGTAACGGATGAGACGGCTCCATTCAAAATTCTATATCTCCATAAATAATAGTCCGATTTGTCTCAAATTTTCAGAGAATACTTTTGAAATGGTATACTTTTAGAAAATGCATTTTTAAAAAAATCGATTTTTTGAAAATCCTATAAAAGTACGTAACCCCTTAAGGAACTTATACTTTTTTGCATCAGTTTTTCTTCATCTTAAACGAAATTTTTCTATTGTAGAACTTGTACATGTTCACATACATTTACTTGTTCCAGTTTTTCTTCACCTAAAACCAAATTTTGTTAAACTTTGAAGGCAGCGCAATAGTTTTCTTACGCATTTGTGGCTGCGCAGTTGATTTTACAATGCAAGGACAATAAGATGGTATAATATGGGTTTACAATTTTGTAAAATTTGTTAGAATAAACTTTTTCATACAGGAACTGATGCACGGACATATACGTAAACTAGTAAATGATCTGGAATGGACAAATTTTTGTGCCTTATTATTCATGATTTCATGTACATTTTCACTGTTTCAATTTCCGCTACTGGTCACGTAAAAGATCTTGTACAGGGATTTTTAACTGGGTGGTCCAGAGGTGTTCACTGCTTTTTTTATTATTCGAACCAAATGCTCAATTGTAATCAAAGCAATTGAGGGGCTGGATTCTATAAAGGGATAGACGCAATGTTAAGTAAATGGCGCGCATCCCCTTATAGAATCCAGCCCCTCAATTTTTACTATTTTTTATCAGGGTTGCCACACAACCTAGAAAACCTGAAAATGTCAGAGAATTTTATAAACCTTGAAAAAGACCTTGAAAAGTCAGGGAATTTTGATCGGAATCCTGGAAATTTATTGTTTTCTAATTGTGCTTATTCTTAAAATCTAATTTTACTTAAATATTTCAAAATTAATTAAATTTTAAAAGAGTTGCGTTTAAAATTTGCATAAATAGATAAACTTGAAAGATTGTAATTTGAAATTCTGTAAAATTTCAATTTTGAATGAATTAATTAAATAATAAAAATTTCACAGAAATTCTATTATTTACAAAATCTTTATAAATTTCTTCGCAATAATTCAATTATATTCCATAAATAATAAATTATTTTAAAGAGATTCAACTATTTTCATAAATAATAAAACTTATCGCAGAGTTTCAATTATTTTTAATACAATTTTAAAGGAATTTCTCAAAAATGTAATTATTCTTAAAAGTTTTATTAAAATTATTCAAAGAAATTCAATTTCTTAAAAGAATTAAATTATTTTCAATAATTTTAATGAAATTCTTTTCAACAATTCAATTATTTTTTTTCAAAATAATTTTAATAAAATTCTACGTAGAAATTTAATTAATTTTAATAATTTATCATAATTCAATTATTTTCAATATTTACTATTTCAATAAAATTTCACAGAAAAATTCAATTATTTAAAAAGAAATTTTAAAAAAACTTCGTCTCAAGAATTCAATTATTTTCAAAAGTAATAACATTCTTCGCAAAAATTCAATTATGGTCGAAAGTTTAAAAAAAATTCTCTCCAAAATTTCAATTATCTTTATAAATAATAAAAATTTTCTCCAAAATTCAATTATTTTCAAAAATTTTAATGAAATTCTTGGCAAAATTTCAATTATTTTCAAAAACATTTCTCAATTCAATCAAATTTTTTACAAAGATTCAATTATTTTTAATACAATTTTAATCTAATTTCTCGAAAATTAAAATTGTTCGTCAAAAGATTTTTAATTACCTATTTAAAAATTTTTTGATAAAATTCTTTATGAGAGTTCAATTTTAAGAAACATTCAATTCTTCAATGAATTATTTATTTTTGTACTTAAATAATTGAATTCTCGTAAAATTTTCTATTAAAAATGGATTTAAATATGAATTTCAGTTAAAATTTTAGATAATAATTGAATTTTTTTAAACTCTCTAAATTTGAATTCGTAAAAATGTTTTCTAATTTGAATTAGTGACTGACTTTTTGCTTTTGAATTAGCAGATTTTACTAATAAATAGTCGTTTCTACTAATTTAATAGTAAAATTTACTAATTCAAAATCAAAAAGTCAGTGACTAATTCAAATAAATTAGTAAACATTTTTACTAATTCAAATTTTAAGAGAAAGTATTATAGCTGAATTTTTAGAAATAATTGAATTTTGAAAATAAGGTTTCAAATTATAATCTTTAAATGTTTGAATTATTCATACTTTTAACTTAAAATTGTGTAGATTTAATTTTTTTAAATTTATTTGAAGTTTTTATTTCCTAATATATATTTGATTGAAGAATATCCGAATAATCGATGATATTTTGTAAAATTGAATTGTAAACAAAAGGATTTGAAAATTTTCAAAAAAATTTTTCAAAAATTATTAAAAATAATAAATTTAAAGAAGAATCTTAGTTAAAAATTCTGGAATACAATAATTAAATTGAAGTGATGAAAGTAATTTTGAATAAGTTAGAGTAACAATATTCTTATAATATAAAATAATGATTTTATCAGTCGATCAATTTTAATTATTATAGAACATGAAGATATTGATTGCTTCGAGTCTTCGACTCGGAGTGATCGATTTCTTCATGTTTTATGACAATTTTTTATAAGTTGTTTAACTTCAAAAATGTTTGAAGAATTTTAATTCCTAAGGAAAAATAATAATTAAATATTTATTTTAAAATGATTAATGTAACAATGCGGAATACAGTATTATATGAAAGTTTCATGTATTTGTAAAAATTTATTGGAATTATTTAATTTTGTAAAATATAAATTTATAGTTTTAGAAACCTGGAAAAATTCCGTTTTTGAACCTGGAAAATCTGGAAAAGTCAGGGAATTTTGAAATGAGCAAAAGCGTGGCAATCCTGTTTATTAAAACAAATCACATCACTAATGACAATTTCCACTTAAGCTAAAACTCTTAATATCTCAAGTAAAAATCTGAACTTTGCTTCTGTAGGCCTGTATAATTTATTATGGAAATTTTATGGAATTGGTAGATAAAATTGTTCTAAATCTATGTTTTTGAAAAATTTGACAAGTTTTATACGAAGTTAAATCCTAACCAGTTGAAATTTGGAAAAATAAAAAGTTCATAAAGTACTCTTTGTAATTAGCGTAATAATATATTATAACTTATTATAAATCTTTAAATATTTACATACTAAAATTTACTCTAAAATCGCTTTTCTAACGATCGTTTTTTATAAGTAGAATGGTTTTGAAATAGAAAAAATTGTGGAATTGAGTACAGGAGAGTTGTGGGATAAACATGTAAACCAAGGCTAAAATCAATTGATTGAGGTGTTCTTGGTAAATCTTATTCAGTGACTTGAAAAACTTTGTTTCTAGAGAAATACAAATAGCTTAATGCAATATTTCTTTAAGGTTCAAACTTTCTAAAAATGTAAAAATATAATTTATTCTTTCATATGACGACTTTCCTTAATAAAATTAAGCAGTATTCAGTTTTATTGGTAAATGGATTTTAATAATTACAGGAATAGATTTGAAATTAAAATCTTTAATAATAAAATCGACTGTAATTGATCTACTGGGAAATGTTGTGATCCTACACACAACAAATAAAACAATACAATAATTCACCCCTTTTTCGACCAACAAGGGAACATTCTTTACTGTGGAACACAGATTTCTTTCAAACCATAATAATTGCTAGATTTTAAAAATTCTAAAATGCTATTTGTATTTTTAAAGCCTGATTTCAAATTCTTCTTTATTGACTCAAAAAACTTTTCATACCAAATTAAAAACTTAATTATCCACTATATATATAATATCAGAATTATAAGCAGAGATTTTATAAACATTTAGATTTTAATTTTTATGAACAGTAGAGAATATATCCCCTTGTAATACCTGAATTATATAATTTTGAATTATCATTTTTGTTTTCGAAAATTTCAAATTTCAAAATGCACTAAAATAAAATGACGTTGTCTAAATGAAACTCTACATCTGAATATTAATTTAATATGTTGTTTAACGATTGCAAAAATGATTTGAAATGAATATTATAGGGCCTTAGCCATGCAAAAGCGAAGGAGAATTTGGAAAGAGACGGCCCGAATGCTCTCACACCACCTAAACAAACACCTGAATGGGTCAAGTTCTGCAAGAATCTCTTCGGAGGTTTTGCCCTGCTCCTGTGGATTGGCGCCATCCTCTGTTTTATCGCTTATTCCATTCAGGCTTCGACAAGCGAAGATCCTAACGACGACAACTTATATTTGGGTATCGTCCTTGCAGCTGTCGTGATAGTGACGGGAATTTTCTCGTATTATCAGGAGAGTAAATCTAGTAAAATTATGGAGTCGTTCAAAAATATGGTTCCCCAATTCGCCACGGTAATCAGAGAAGGTGAAAAGCTTACATTAAGAGCGGAGGAAATTGTTTTGGGAGACGTTGTGGACGTTAAATTCGGGGATAGGATCCCTGCTGATATTAGGATTATCGAATCTCGAGGATTTAAGGTATGGTCACTCGCCATTATTTTCTTGTTTAAAGTTTTTCTGTAGAATAATTGAATAATAATTGATAATTTAATTATATGTAAATAATGTAAATTTATGCGAGATTTTTTCTGATTGTAGGTAGACAACAGCTCGTTAACTGGAGAATCCGAGCCTCAATCAAGATCGCCGGAATTTACGAACGAGAATCCTTTGGAGACGAAGAACTTGGCTTTCTTCTCGACAAATGCTGTTGAAGGCACTGCAAAAGGTATTGTCATCTGTTGTGGAGATCAAACAGTGATGGGAAGGATTGCCGGTCTCGCGTCCGGCCTCGACACTGGTGAGACTCCAATCGCCAAGGAAATCCATCACTTTATTCATTTAATTACCGGCGTAGCCGTGTTCCTCGGCGTTACCTTCTTCGTCATAGCCTTTATTTTGGGTTACCATTGGCTTGATGCGGTCATCTTCCTTATTGGAATCATCGTAGCTAATGTGCCTGAAGGTCTGTTGGCGACCGTCACGGTATGTCTCACTCTCACTGCCAAGAGAATGGCATCAAAGAACTGTCTCGTTAAGAATCTCGAGGCCGTCGAGACTTTAGGATCGACGTCCACTATTTGTTCAGACAAGACCGGAACTCTCACCCAAAACAGAATGACTGTTGCCCACATGTGGTTCGACAACCAGATAATCGAGGCCGACACCACCGAGGATCAATCTGGAGTTCAGTATGACAGGACAAGTCCTGGATTCAAGGCTTTATCCAAGATCGCAACGCTTTGCAATCGAGCCGAGTTCAAGCCCGGTCAAGATGGAGTGCCAATTCTCAAGCGAGACGTGAATGGTGACGCTTCCGAGGCTGCCCTTCTCAAATGTATGGAGCTCGCCCTTGGGGACGTGATGGGAATACGTAAGCGAAACAAGAAAGTGTGCGAGGTCCCCTTCAACTCGACGAACAAGTACCAAGTGTCCGTCCACGAATCGGATGATCCAAATGACCCTCGACATCAGCTAGTCATGAAGGGAGCACCAGAGAGAATCTTGGATCGCTGCTCAACAATCTTCATCAGTGGAAAGGAGAAAGTTCTTGATGAGGAAATGAAGGAAGCGTTCAACAACGCCTACCTCGAGCTCGGCGGACTTGGAGAGCGAGTTCTCGGCTTTTGCGACTTTCTTCTGCCATCTGATAAATTCCCACTAGGCTTCAAATTTAACTCTGACGATCCGAACTTCCCTACAAGTGGACTACGATTTGTGGGACTTATGTCAATGATTGATCCGCCCAGAGCTGCGGTACCAGATGCCGTGGGAAAATGTCGTTCCGCTGGTATCAAGGTCATCATGGTTACTGGTGATCATCCAATCACTGCCAAAGCCATTGCCAAATCCGTCGGAATTATCTCCGAAGGTTCGTCCTTTTTTGTTTCCTCCTTTTTTGTTTGAATTTATGAATTAATGAGGAAAATAATGGAACTTATATTTTTCAATCAGGTAATGAAACAATTGAGGATATTGCTCAGCGGCTGAACATTCCCGTTTCCGAAGTGAATCCCCGCGAAGCGAAAGCTGCAGTGGTCCACGGAAGTGATCTCAGGGATTTGAACTCCGATCAGCTGGACGAAATCCTCAGATATCACACCGAAATAGTGTTCGCTCGTACCTCGCCTCAGCAGAAGCTTATAATTGTCGAGGGCTGCCAAAGAATGGGTGCCATTGTTGCGGTAACAGGTGAGTTACTCAAGTAGCCAGAAAAATTAAGGACAATCGATTAATCGTCTATTTTATTTAGGCGATGGTGTGAATGACTCGCCTGCTTTGAAGAAAGCGGACATTGGAGTTGCCATGGGAATTGCCGGTTCGGACGTCTCAAAACAAGCTGCGGACATGATTTTGCTGGATGATAATTTTGCTTCAATTGTCACAGGAGTCGAAGAGGGTCGATTAATCTTCGATAATTTGAAGAAGTCTATCGCTTACACTTTAACTTCCAACATTCCTGAGATTTCTCCTTTCTTGGCCTTCATTCTTTGCGACATTCCCCTGCCACTTGGTACCGTTACGATTCTTTGCATCGATTTGGGAACTGATATGGTAAGTGCTGTTCACATGTACGTCAACAGATTTACAAAACTTTATAAACTATTTCAATGGAGTCTTGTATTTACACAGCTTTTTAACAGGTTCTTCAAATTCGTTTCTTTTTCATTTATCTCTTAATTAAAGCCAAAAGATATCTGTCTAGAGTCAAAAATTATTATTGCATTGAAATGTCCTGTCCTTCGCTGATTGTCAGGTGCCGGCCATTTCCTTGGCCTATGAACAAGCAGAGTCGGACATTATGAAGAGAAGACCACGAAATCCATATATGGACAATCTCGTCAATGAAAGGTTTATGGACATTGAAAATAGCTAGATTCCCCACTTTTACATATTATTTTCTTCATTTTGCGTCTCTTTGATTTGAAGTCTTTAGCTTTTCGCCAGAAGAAGCTCCCGTATTAGCGGTATCGCTATCAAGTAGCTACACTTTGTCTCGATACATTCTCAGTGTTCATTGATATTTTATTTCCACTTTATAGATTCTGCATAACAGGCGTCAAGGAATCTTCTCAAAGGATGATTAATGCGATTTTTCTTTTTTCAGAATTATTTTCAGAACAAAAGATTTGGGAGGCTCCCAACTACATTCTTTCCCAATAAATCCTTCTACTTGTTCCACTGACACGTTATCCCTGTTTTTAAGTTGCTTATTGTTTATTATTTATGATTAAGTATTTTTAAACTTTTGAGAATAGACATTCCACTTTGAAACATTACGCGATCTACTCTGTCTATGAAAATTGTCAGGTTATCTATGTTCCAATGATTTTTTCTGTTAATAGCATTCTCTTATTTTTAAAGCGGAAATTTATTTTCAAGTGAAAAATGCTCTACCAGAGTATCTTGCTTTTTTCAAGTGATACAAAAGAAAATTGGGTGAATCTTTCATAACCTTGCATCGAAAACTTGACTACGTTCTGAATAATAGAGATAGTTGTTGTGATAGGAAAGATAATGATCGGTCAGAATTTGAACTTTATTTCAAACGGATTTTTATCACAAAACCATCCAGTTAGGAATTTTTGAATTATTATCTATAATTTTTTATAGTTAAAAGTCCGTAAAAGTCCATTTTTTTAAAAAAGGTCCGTAAATTTGGATAATTTTAGAGAAATTACAAATGATTGTAAGAATTCAATTATTTTCAAAAGTAATAAAATTCTTGGCAAAAATTCAATTATGTTTAAAATTTTTTTTAAATTCTAGTTAAAATTTCAATTATTATTAGAAATAATTAAATTCTTCTCCAAAATTCAATTATTTTCAAAAATTTTAATAAAATTCTTTGAAAAATTTCAATTATTTTCAAAAATTTTCTTCAATTCAATGATTTTTAATAGGTACTTAATAAAATTTTTTAAAAGAATTAAATTATTTAAAAAAAAATTTAATAAAATTCTACACAAATCTTTCATTATTTTCAAAAAATAATAAAAATTTCATTATTTACAAATTTTTTTATAAATCTCTTCGCAATCATTCAATTATTTTAATAAATAATAAAATTTTTTCAGGGATTCAATTATTTTGGTAAATAATAAAAATCTTATTAGGAATTCAATTATTTTCATAAATAATAAAACTCATTGCAGAATTTCAATTATTTTTAATACAATTTTAATGAATTCAATTATTTTAAAAATGAGAATTCAATTTTAAGAAACATTCAATTATTCAATGAATTATTTAATTTTGTATTTAAATAATTGAATTCTCGTAGAATTTTCTAATAAAAATTAATTTAAAAATGGATTTCAGTTAAAATTTTAGATTATTATTGAATATTAAAAGCATTAGAGCATAAATTTTTAGAAATAATTGAATTTTGAAAAGGTTTCAGATTAAAATCTTTGAAAATTTGAATTTTTCATATTTTTAACTAACAATTCTGTGGAATTAATTTTTTGTTTTTGAGAAAGTTTGATTGCGGATTTTTTTTACATTATTTAAAGTTTTTATTTTCTTATATATATATTTAATTGAAGAATTTGCGAATAATTGAAATTTTGTAAAATTGAATATTGTAAACAAATGGATTTGAAAATTGTCAAAGAACTTTTTAGAAAATTATTAAAAATAATCGATTTTAAGAAGAATTTTAGTTAAAAATTCTTGAAAATAATAATTGAATTTGATAATGATTTTATCACTCTGTCATCTTTAATTATTATAAAACATGAAGAAATCGATCACTCCGAGTCTTCGACTCGGAGTTATCAATATCTTCATGTTTTATAGTTATGAAAAATTTAATTTATAGTTTTAAGTAAAATGTTCTCTTATTTGACTCTGACTGGTTACATTTTTGTCAACAATTGGTCCGTAAATAGTTCGTAATTTTTCATTTTTGTCCGTAAAGTCCGTATTTTTAAATACTTTCACTGGTTCGAGCCCTGGAAGTAAGGATAAGTAGTTGTTGCTATTACTCTTATATGTATAGAAAATTTGCAATTTTATAACTTAGGTATGAAAATTTTATTCAATAGACTATCGGTTTAAGCCCATCTTAAATTCTTCACTCTCCTTCCCACTTAATAATAATAGGACTACCTAATTAAGGTGTCGCCGCGCGCAGATAAAAGATGTCATCTATTGAATGATAAGATGTGTACCTGTAGTATCTTAAGAAAATTGGAAAAATGGTATAATTTTATTTATTTTGTATGTCCCTCCTATCGTTTTTTGATGCAAGGTAATTTTTTTTTTTGTTTTTTTAATAAACTAAATTATAATCAGTAAAAATCATTGAAAAATGAATAATCTGACAATTCATATCGTTGTAGACTTGGAAAAATGTTGTAATTTTTTCTTCTTAAAAACGCAATTCTCTCATCGGGATTAAAATTATCAATTGATTTGATTAATATATTTTAACATTTTCATTGAGCTTCTTAATAAATATGACATCAGGTACCCGCCATCTCACTAGCCTACGAGGAGGCAGAGAGCGATATTATGAAGCGACAGCCACGAAACCCCTTCACTGACAAGCTAGTTAACGAAAGGTAAAACATTTCAACAACATATCACAAAATCCCACATTTCAACAAGGTTCTCAATCAAAAAATTTTGTCGTTGTATCTTTCTCAAATTGTCATCCATTTCATTAGCATTTCACTTATTATCAAATGACAACGACATTTTTTTGATAAACCTTACACAATTCTTTTACTTATTTTCTATCAAACAAAACTGAAACTGGCATTGAAATTCAACAGACTTGTGCATTTTTACTTTTTCTTACTAGCAAGAATTTATGAAAAAATTTCAAAGTGGCGCAAAAGTACTTTGTGTTGGCAATCTGCTGTTCTTGTAAAACGAATATATTTAACTTTAGGAAAATATGATTTTGATAAGACTTTGTGGACCATTGCCATTAAGAGAAAACCAAAATAAAAAATTTTCCTCTTAATTCAGGTTTCTCTCTAACTAAAAAATGTAATTTACTTTCTAAAGTTAAATATAAATTATCGAAATATCCAGTTCATAAAAAGACCTATCAAAACCTATCAAAATTAAAAAAATGGTTTTCAAATGTTATAAGAGATTGTCAAAACGCGTGATTTTTCCTCATAAATAAATTATAAATGAATTTACATTGTTAATTTCAGTTTCGTATATATTTTTATATTTCTATTAACTTTTTCCACAATTACTCTATGACAAATGCCTCTAATCGCCAATTCTGGCGACGATAACTGCGATACTTACTTTTAGACTCTTTCATTTATAGAATGTAATAATATATATAATATATTTAAAATAGATTCATTCATAAACTATTTTCATGAACATAATAGTTTAATAGTTTAAGAATTCAATGAAAACTACTTTTAGGAAAGTTTATTTAAAAGGTGACACATATTAGGATTAGTTATGAAAAGGAAACACTATATCAAATCATCGGTACTATTAGTAAACTATAATATGCTTCTAACTTTCAAATTAAATTTTTTCAGTTCTAATTTTATATAATCGATTCTTCTTGTTAAAAATACTTGTAAATATATTTCTTGCAAGTTGAAAATTTATAAGTAGCTATTTTTGTGAAAGTAAGTTTTTATTAACAAAAAGAAAAAAAAACATTTAAATTTGTTAGGAAAGAATTATTTTTTAACGAGAGGAAATGATTAAATGTTTGGTTTGGTTTTCTCTAATCGCACTTGAAACTTTTACCACTGACCGAATAACCCATCGATTAGGGTCATATTATTAAAGTCAAGGTAAGCTGTCTCTAATATTAATATATTTTTCGGAACTCTGCTTTCCTAAGATTTTCTTCTATATTTTTTGAACCCAATTTGGGAATCTTTAACGCCCGAAAAAGAAATTTCAAAAAATCTAAAAATGAAAACTTTTGAAAATAAATCTTTAAATAACGCACTTCTTTCTTCAAGCAGCGAAAGACCTATAGCAAATTATAAAAAAAGAGAAAGGCTGGATGCATCGCACGATTACTCTTTTTCTATACCATTCGACCTTTGTCTCTTCGCATTATGTTCTGAACTAAAAATATTTACTGCCTCAGCCTTACATTCACATTTTTTCTACAATATATATATAATTTAAACAAAAATTTTCAAATTACTTTTTTTCTTTTTATTAAATTAAAAATCTCTGATTGCCAAGCTGCTTCCATTTTACACTTATTCAATTCTAAAGCACTATCAAATTTGGGAATGCTTTTTAAATACTTTTTACAATTAAATGGACGCTGCATTTTGTGCGTCGAGTTTTAGAATACGTTATTTTAAAACAAAGACCTTTAAAATTCTTAATATTACTTCTAATTTATTAATTAAATAAAATTAATACATGGCGAACATTTCTATAGAAACTTTTTATTTTTCGGTTGTATTCATACGTCCAATACTTACATGTAATCAACTTATTAATTGATTATTATTAATTATATGTTGGATTTATAAATACAGTTGTATTGAAAAAATTTTTCGTATTCGAAATTATGTCGTTCGCCCCAAGTCGAATGA